TGTTAAGGTTTTACCGCCTTGGAAACCCAGTGGTTGGTGGGTCACTGTGAATCAGAGCCAACTCAATGGCAGTGAGCTTTTTCTATGAAAGGCCAAGTAGAATGTATCTCAGAAAGTGATTGTATACTCAGGACGGAATACAATGTACATAAACCCACATTGATTCTCTGACAAGTTCCTGGATGGTGAGGTACCATATATGCACCTCTGCTCATCAGTGGTGTCCCTTCCAGGGTCACTTAAAGACATATTTAATGTCTATAATAGGGGACTTTCTTTAATGGATCATATGGTTAACCCCGATGTCATCATACGTTAAGATTTATGCCTTACTCTGAGTGCCCTTTCTAGACACAGCGAAACAGTAGACTGAGGTAATTTAAAGAGAGAGGAAGGCAGATGGCGTGATACTCATTTCCTTGGGAATAAACTTATAGGCCATTTCCATGTTTATTTTCTTCATGACTGAATGAAAGGGGAAAGAGCAGATAGCAAACGGCATTATTTTTGCTTTGGAATATTATTCTTTATACCACTCCCTATCCCAGGGCCATCTGTGCGGGAAACATAGTTAGCAGAATGATGATGAATAATAGATTGTGTATGGATTGCTATTTTACATAAATATTTTAATCCATGAAGTTACATACTATGACTTAATACATCTTGGAAATCAAATCTCTACATTTGGGAACTTCTTTTCGTTTTAGCAAGTGGAGTCCAGATTGTTCAATATTTATGGTTTCTCATAAAACTTTTTTATCTGAATCCTTATTATAAGCCAGAGAAAAATGGTTTTGGGGAAAAATATGTTTAAAGAAGAATTCTGGTTTCATGAAACGTCAAGGCAGCTATCAAAATGAAGGTGGCTGCTGTGAGAACATGAACCTCACTTGCTCTTCTGCTGGTAATACGCTGGGATGTTCAGAAAAGGCCTTCAGCTGCAGACAGGACTTCTGTCCACCACTTCGCCCAGGATAGCTGGAGGCATGAGGGAAGGACTGCAGACATAACCCTCGTTGTCATTGTGTTAGAACCACTCACAGCTGACCCTCCTCCAGGAGGGTTTCAGAGGCTGTAACACACACACGGAAGGAGATGGCCCGTCTTTCTCCAGAGGAGTCACTGGGTTTTCAGCCACTGGTGGGTTCACACTGCCAGAGAGGCATCACCTTTTGGTTGGAAGTGCAACTCCTTCTACAGACAGAGTCAGCATCATTAAACCAGGTGCTTAGGGAACATGCATCTCTGTTAATTACAGGAAAGTTAATGAAGTCAAACATGTGGATGACGTTTAGGAAAACAGAAACATCTCGTTCTAGTTGTCTCTTTTTCCCGAGTATTCAAACGACTCCCCCCCCCCCCCAAATAAATCTCTCTTCGGACTAACAGTAGAATGAAGACGGTGCTTTTGAAACCTGCACAACTTTAACAAAGGCAGGTGCAGCCTCAGTGCCTCGTGCTCCAGAGCACCACTGCCCCCTAGTGTAAGGCCGGGTGCTTAACACGGCGCGCCGCACAATCTGACTCAGCTGTTTTCAAAAGGTTCTTAACTCTTCCTATAAGAAACAGCTGTCTCTTAAGACTCAACTCTGTTTGTTTTTCTTGTTGGAATCTATGATGATGGCTGTTGTTTCAGAATCTTCCCTTTTGCTCAGCTTTGTCTCCATGTCTTGAGACATAAGCAGACATCACCTGGAAAATTATTTAAGCTGAGTCGCTATGACTTGAACAATTCTCACACTGCCACTTTCTTTTTTAAGGCTTAAAAAAGAATAACTCTTTCAGGAAGTATGTTTGTTTATTTCAAGATCAAATAGTTTCTGGGAATGCAAGTATAAAAATTATGACTGACAGAACCTTTTTCATTTACATATCTCTAGGATTTCTGTGAAAAGCTGACAAGTTTCTGAATAAATCTATTTTTCAATTTCATCTGTTTTACATCACTGTTAAATCTACATAATTTTAATGTACAACAAATTTTGTCACTTATATCTCTCACCCATGTCTGTATGACCATAAAGTAGGAACTTAGCCAGCATGGCCCACTCATTCAATACGTTTTAAAAACAATATAATGCCAAATACTAATTACTGAATTGATCCAGGGATAGGTGGTGGTGGTGGTTGTTAAGTGCCGTCTCATAGCGACCCTATGAAGGAGAGTCCTCGACGCTTGGGTGCCTTTCATCCTCTCTCCAGGTTCATAGGGTTTCCGGAGGCAAGCTATTACGTTAAGTGGATGCCACTCCTTCCAAGCTCCAGGGAAGGTAGGAGACGTTAAATTCCCTGGGAAATCTTCAGAATGTTCACCTGGGATAGTCTGAGGCAATAGGTTCCCTAGTAGGAGGTAGGTGAATGGGGAGATAGGTGAATGGATATGCAGAGAAGTAACTGAAAGCCGATTTCTCGGGAGGACATGTTCAGTGCTGCGAGCTCGGCCCTGACCTCTGGCGAGCCTGTGAGCAGCAGAGGAAGCCACGCGCCGTCCTCACGATCTGAAGTGCAGACTGGACGGCAGTCCTGCGGGAAAGGGTCCCCTTGACCTATGTCATCATCTTGGTTGGTATAATAAAAGGTGTTGTATTTGTTCTCCCCTCTTATCTTAGTTGTGCTCAATTTAACAATAATCATCAATCCATCTCTTCTTTCATTGTCTCCACCTTGCCAGACATCCTCACCTACCCGTATAATGTTCTGCTTATAAAGGCTATACAATTCACAAGCACATATCTTTTCTTCTCTCTGTAACATTCTGTATCAGAAATCAATAGAATTGGCATGGTGCCCCATTGTTTTACACATCCTCTCTCATGGGATGAAAAGAAGGCAGTCCCCAAACAGAAAACCTTAGACATACCTTTTCAAAAGAAAAACAGTTGGATAAAAGTACATCATTGTGCTTTTGCCATATTTTAAAAAGTAGTTCTGTAGCTTTAAAATGCTTTTTTACATTCATTTAAAAGTCAGTTGGTACTTGTAGCATTCATGGCAATTGAAGTGATTTCATATTAGTTACTGTTATATCCTAATAACATAGCCTGTGATATAGTGGGCTGGGTAAGGAATTTGGGGATGTAGATTCTGGTTTTATTCCATTACTGGTCTCAAGAAAATACCCTCAGCTCTCTTAATTCTTTATTTTCCTGATCTACATATGAAATGTCCTCCTCTCTGGAGTATTAAGAAAATTACCTAAAGTAATGAGTGTTGGCTTATTTTTGCTCCTTGGAGAAAGACATTATAGGTTGTTTTATTATACAGTCATGCACCGAGTAACATCCATGTCCAATTGCATTTAAGTCTGTGATTCCAACCCCTGCAAACCCTCTTATGTTGATTATTTTATATCTGTATATTATAATTCTATCATAATAGGATAAACCATATTCATTTACACTACATGCACTGGTTTGCAGTAACAGTACGGATATTATTTTGTGATGTGCATCAAAACATTATTACTATTAGAATGTTAAAGATACCTCACTAGGGGAGCTCTGGTGGCCTAGTCGCAAGGAGCTGCAGCTACAATCCCAGAGGCAAATGGTTCGAATCCACCAGATGCTCTGCCGGGGAAGGAGGGACAATCTCCTCCTGTACCAGTCAGATCTGATTTGACGGTACACGCACACAAAAAATAATAATAAAAAATTTAAAAGAAAAAGATACCTCACTGAATTTGGAAGTGTTTATTTAACTTTTATGCACAGAAAGGCACACTGTACATTGTATTTCGCGACAAATATTTTATTAACATTAGATAGAAACTCTACTTGTAGATTTAGAAACAGCTCATTTGTGATCTAAGGACTTCTTGTACGTAATGTAATGTTTGCACAGTGTCCAATCACAGAATGACCTGCTTCACAGACTGGGTCACGGAGGTTAAACTGCATGACTGTAGTGCCATTTCTCTCTGTATTCTAGATCAATACTGTAACCTCTTTGCATCCCTGTATGTATTTCTGCTAATGCATACCATTTTATAATTTAATATCTCTGTCAAACTATGTTTTGTGTCAGTAATAAATGTATTCTGTAGCCATATAAAGCAGATACTAGCCCATAGTTAAATTGTGGACACTTAAATGAGAGATTCTTAAAGTCCTTTCCTTTTCTCAAACGTTTCTTCCAGACATGTTGGCTGTTACGCTTCTCACTACAGCCGCTAAGAATCCTGCTAGCGTTGCAGTCAACTCTTGATTATGTTGATCCTTGGGTTTGGACTTACCACGTAATGTCACTAAGTAGCAGACCCTATTTCACAAGGTCCACACAAATTAATGCTCACCACAACCCTCTGAGGTGCATACTGTTACTAAGCCCATTTTACAGATGGAGAAACTGGAGTTGAAAGAGGTCAAGTAACTTGCCCAAGGTTACACAGTTAGGAAGTGACAGAGGCTGGATCCAGTGAACTTGAATCTCAGGCTCTTCATTTAACCCGTCATGTGCTACTGACCCTTTCAACATGGGAAATGTTTAAAATCCCATCTGCCCTCCCATTCCATTGTTTTAATAACTTTGTCTGTTATAATAATACCATTAATAACCTGAGCATGAATCCTGGCTCCTCTGGCAAGTTGCTTAATCTCTCTGTGCCTCCCGTTTTCCTCTCTATAAAAAGAGCTTTATCCGTATGTGCCTCGCAGGGCTGTGGAGGGATTAAATGAGATGGTGCGTGTCAAGTTCATTGACTTGTGGCTGGCACACACCAGCCCGTTGCCGGCTGAGTCATTGCTATTCATGGCAGCCTCTTGTGTGACAGGGTACAATTGTGCCACAGCCAGTAACTGCTGCTGCTGTTACTTCCAGATTGAAAAAGTTCTAATGGAAAGAAAACATTACTAATACAACCCACGCATATACTTAGGGAAACAGGGGCCCAGAGCAGGCCTCTTCTAAATAATCAAAAGTTGACTGTGACTGTCCTGCCCTCCCAGCCCTTCTGTCTGCAGTTCCTTGGCAGTGACCTTGTCTTATAATTCATGCAGGCTATGGCCACTCAGATGCCGACGTCCTTCACCAGTCTCTACTTGAAGCCAACATCGCTACTGAAGTTTGCCTTACAGCGCTCGACACGCTCTCCCTCTTCACGCTGGCGTTTAAGGTCAGTATGGAAGAAGCTTCTCGCGGTTGGGTTTTGACTTTGCAAATCCGTTCTGCTCATTTAACTCAACCAGCAAGAAGGTGTTACTGTGCTGTAGTTTTACTTCATCACCAGCTTTTGCCTCTGTGAATCTGTAAATGCCTTAAATGAAATTTGTTCCCAGCTGTCGATTTGAATTCCCTGAAATATCTTAAAGTTTAACTGGGTGTGTGGGCTGCATGCTTGGAAATAATGGAAATTCTGACTGGAGGTCTCTTCTCTTAGAAGACAATGAAGGGAAGAAGACCTCTTCCATTTAAGACCCTATTTACTGGGGAAATGTCTCTTGACTCATCTTGGTAGGTGGTACACATGGGGCCTAATCTGGAATTTCTGACTATAAATCATCTATAGCATGTGCAGACGTCGTCACAATTTAAATATTTATACATTTGTTGTTGGGTCCCGTGGAGTCGGAACTGACCCATAGCTGACCCTCCAGCAAGTCTTCATGGGCAGTTAATCACATAGGAGGAGACTGCCCAGCCTTCTCCTGTGGAGCAGCTGGTGCATTCAAACCGCGTGCCTTCGGGATTGCAGCACAGCTTCTTGCCACTAGGCCACCAGAGCTCGCAAAACTCAAGTGGAGACAGCATTTATACATAGAGTAACAATAAGTGTAAACACTTTAAAAAAAAAAACAAAAAACAAGAAACAACCTAACCACAACCTTCTTTCTAAGTTAAACAGGTACCAAAAACATTTCAGTGACAGAAAGTAGGACCAGCTTGGTGTTTTGGTTTTTGTTGTGTTGGTATTTTTGTTTGTTTGGGTTTTGGTCTTTGCCTTTCTTTTGTGTTTTAGAAAGTAACATTCATGTAATTGGCATGGACTCATCAGCCATTCTGGCTAGTTTTCAGGGCCTAATACATCTTTGCTAAGTGATTACTTCCATTTCCAGACTAGAAAAGGGATAGTAAGTCATCCGCAATTGCAACAATGTTTATTTGTGAGAGTATTTTGGGAAGTTGTCAGTATTCTCTGCTTTACTTATCTCTACTACTCATACTGCTAATCCAAGACAGGAGGTTCAAATCCACTAGCACAGGAGAAAGATGGACCATCTCCTCCCGTAAGATTTACAGCCTGTGAGATCACACAGGAAGGGCAGCTATGGGTTGGTCCCAACTCAATGGCAACGAACGACAACTCCTTTTTTTTTTTTTTATGCGTGTACCGTCAAATTGGATCTGACTGGTACAGGAGGCGACTGTTTCTCCTTCTTCAGCAGAGCATCTGGTGGATTTGAACCGTGCACTTCTGGGATTGCAGTACAGTTTCCTGCCACTAGGCCACCAGAGCTCGCCGACAACTCCTTATAAAGTACGTAGTGACAAAGGACACGACTGTGAGTAGAAACTGAGTTGATCGCTCCTCACAACAAGGCATGTCAAAGAGCCTGGTGGCACAGTGGTTACAATCTCTGCTGCGAACTGAAAGGTCAGTGGTTCAAACCTTCCCTGTCAACGTAGCTAAGAGAATACGCCATCCCCTTTTCCTTATGAATCAGGGTGAAGTCTCTCTCAGGGAGGAGTGATAGGGAATGGCAAAGGACACACTGACAAAGGAGATTAATCAGAACTGGCTTTGACAAGCACTGTGGCAATTGGACAATTAAAACAGACATTCTGGGGGGAAGAAGAACGAACTGGGGAGGAGGGTAGAAAAAACAGTGCAACAGTGAAGGAATGAAAACCCCAAATCCCTGTAAATGTTCATTAAAACTAATAAAATTTAATAATAATAAAAAAAATTAGAAAAAAAAACAACCTTCCCTGTCCGTGCTGTGGGAGACAGGGTGGCAGCCTGCTGCTGTAACAGTTACAGCCTCTCTTGTTCAGTGACAGGAGAACCTGAGGGGGCCAGTTCTCCTCTGTCCTGTAGGGTCAGTGTGAGTCCATGTCAGCTCAGCAGCAGCTGGGCTTGGGTCTGTGTGCACAAATGTTTGCCACTGAATGTCCACCCACCCCTTAAAGAAGCGAGGAGAGTAGAAAATGTCACAGTGCCCTCAGTGTCAGTGATGTCGTGCCAGGCAGTAGATGGACCTGACCAAGACGAGCAGTTGGTGAGGCACACGGCTCAGCCACCATCACGAGCATTCTTTGCAGTGTTTACTCAGAGCAGGCAGCAATTGAAGCTTATTGGCAGAAATTTTAAATTATAACATTGTTAGCTGACAAAATTCTATGTAGAAAAGTTGTCGTCCACAGATACTGCCTTATCATTACCCCCTCACTTAACTGACCTCAGTTAATAGGAAACAACATTCTCATAGGATGGAATACTATCCTATTACAGTAAAAATTGAAGCCCTAAGATTCCTCTTCTGATTACAATTGTGCCGGCAGTCCCTGGACTATAAATTAGATCATTTCCTGTGTATTTACGTGAATAATTGGAATTTAAGGAAACAGGCACATACATTTTCTTCTTTAGCGTTGACAAGGCAGACCAAATCCACCAGCTGCTTTTTCTCGTTAAGAGAAAATGAATACGCACTGCCGTGTCGTATGCAGGTATGGTAGACTGCCCTCTCGTTTGTTATAAAAACATGTATTTTGTACTTAAGGTAACTGTGGAAAGGAAAATAATGTCTTTGGGTGTTTTACAATGTTTCTAATTAACATAATCCTAGATCAATGCTGTCCTTTAACTATTTTATGTACTGGTTAATGTATTCACTGACTGAATCTGAACATGTATCTGTACACAGCAGTTCCTGTTAGTACCTTTTCTCGGTCTGATCTGCTTCATGAGAACTAACACATAATCATGGGGAGTGATAGGAGCTGGAATGGTGAGGAGCGTGGATAATCGGGAATGTGAGGAATGTGGATAATCGGGGTTGGTGAGGAGCCTGTGGATAATCGGGGATAGTGAAGAGCCTGTGTGGATAATCGGGAATGGTGAGGAGTGTGGATAATCGGGGATGGTGAGGAGCCTGTGGATAATCGGGGATGGTGAGGAGTGTGGATAATCGGGGATGGTGAGGAGTGTGGATAATCGGGGATGGTGAGGAG